TCACACAGCCTCCCCCATACGGTCTCCCCCTTCACTGTCACCCCCAGACTGTCACACTGTCAACATGCAGACACTGCCCCCCACACTGTTTCCCTCCCACACAGAGCCCCCACACACTGTCACACTTCCACACAGAGCCCCCTACACTGTCACCATGCACACACAGAGCCCCCTACACTGTCACCATGTTACCCTCCTCCACACACAGCCCCCACACACTGTTCCCCTCCCACACACAGCCCCACATACTGTCACGCTTCCACACACAGTCCCCACACTGTCATCCTCCCACAATGTCACCCCTCCACACACACTGTAACCCTACCATGCACTGCCCCCATGTGTCACCCTCTCACACACACACTGTCACCCTTCCACAAACTGCCCACCCACACTGTCATCCTACACATGCTATCATCCCCATATTCACCCAGCCACACTCACATTAACCCCTCCTAATACTGTTGCTCTAACCCCCTCCAACCAGGGCCGGATTAACATAGGGGCTGATGGAGCTGCAGCTCCAGGCCCAGGCCCATGGAATAGGCCCATTGATTTAAAAAAAAAATATATATATATATATATTTTTTTTTTTTTCACACACTACTCTTAGGGATTCCACATGGCTTTTATTTTATTGGCACAGCCTTTATTTGAGGCTGCCTGGCTGGTGCCAATATTGCAGTGATACTGGCAATATAAATGCTGGTATTTTTCTCAGTATAAATGGAGATTACTCTGCAATACCAGCACTGGCCAGTAGGGGTCGCTGTATGTGGAGACAGGCAGGGATAGGAAGTTCCAGCAAATCCCTCCCTGCCTATCTATACTCACTGATCTGCAGGGGTGCAGCTACAGAGAGTCCAGACAGCAACTCCCACCCTGCAGAAACAGCCTACAGCTCAGGGAAGTACGGGATGGGGGAAAAGGCTGCAAGGAGACATGCACTGAGACACTAAGGGGCACTGGGAGACATTATGGCAGACACTGGGAGACATGGGGACACTGAGACTCTAAGGGACATTGGGAGACATTATGGCAGACACTGAGACACTAAGGGACACTGGGAGACATGGCAGACACTGAGACACTAAGGGACATTGGGAAACATTATGGCAGACACAGAGACACTAAGGGACATTGGGAGATATTATGGCAGACACTGAGACACTAAGGGACATTGGGAGACATTATGGCAGACACTGAGACACTAAGGGACATTGGGAGACATTATGGCACAGACACATGGGGACACAGTGTCCCCATGTCTCCCAGCCAGTGTCCCTGGTGTCTCAGTGCCCCCTAGTCTCCCAGTGACCCCTAGTCTCCCAGTGCCCACAGTCTGCCAGTGCCCACAGTCTGCCAGTGCCCACAGTCTGCCAGTGTCTCACTATCCCCATGTCTCCTATTGCCTCAATGTCTCTCAGTGCCTCAAGTGTCACAATGTCCCCAAGCTAATGTTCCTAGTGTCTGTGGCCCTGGTGTCTCAGTGTCCCCATGTCTCCCAGTGCCCCCATGTCTCAATGTCCCCATGTCCCCCAGTCAGTGTCTCTAGTATCTTTGTCCCTGGTGTCTGTGTCCTCATGTCTTCAAGTGTCCCCTATTTTCCCATTGTCCCCATGTGTCCCCTTAGTCTCCCAGTGTCACTGGTGTCTCCTTGTCCCTAGGTCTCCCCGTGTCCCCAGGTCTCCCCGTCTTCCTAGTGTCCTAGTGACATGGGGACCCTGGGATACATGGGGACACAGGGAGACATGGGGCATTGAGACACTGATACATAGGATCACTGGGAGACCTGGGGACACAACATTAGGGGACACTGGGAGACATGGGGCACTGAGACCTGGAGTAATCGACACATGGGGGCACTGAGTCATGAGGGCACTGGGAGGAATCCATCTATACAGCAGATTTAAACTAAGTAGTTTTTTGGTGATTTTACAGCATTTTCTCTTATGTCACTCCTTGTGATTTACATCATGTGATGTCATCCATACATATTTAATTATGCAAATTAGCAAGGCCGGTATGTTTTTCCAAGAAAGGTGGCAACCCTAACTACTTTTCACATACTCTTACTTAAGTATGGAAACTTAAGAAGGATGTATGGGAACAAAACGTGTGTGGACTGGCTGACAATGAATATAGTTAAAGGGACACTATAGTCACCAGAACAACTACAGCTTATTGAATTTGTTCTGGTGAGTAAAATCATTACCATCAGGCTTTTTGCTGTAAGCACGGTCTTTTCAGAGAAAATGCTGTGTTTACATTACATCCTAGTGATAACTTCACTGGCCACTCCTTAGATGACTGTTAGAGATCCTTCCTGGGTCATGGCTGCCTAAAATGCATCCAAACATTTAGTGTCTCCTCCCTCTGCATGCAGACACTGAACTTTCCTCATAGAGATTCATTAATTACATTAATCTATATAAGGAGATGCTGATTGGCCAGGGCTGTGTTTGAATCATGCTGGCTCTGACCCTGATCTGCCTCTTTGTCAGTCTCAGCCAATCCTATGGGAAAGCACTGTGATTGGATCAGGCCACCACTTCTAATGATGTCAGCAGACTGCGTGTTTTTATGAGCCTAACAGCATGCAGAGTTACAGCTTCAGGCTTGAATATAGTAGGATTTTGCTATATTTATGGAGGCATCAGGGGCCCAGGGGGGCTAGATGGTGGTGTTAACACTATATGGTCATGAATTCATGTTTGTGTTCCTGACTCTATAGTGATCCTTTAAGGTAATGCTGACTTTGGTCTCTCTAACACTGTGGCATGTTCCCTTTCTTCGACACTCACTACATACAGCTTTTCTCTGTCCCAGACCATATACCAGGAGCTTCTGCCTGCTAGTAAGAAGGTAAGGAGACTAGTGGACCAGCGAGGGGACAGTCCTTAGAAAGCGTTGAATGAGCGCATCATTAGATGCATTTATGCCAAGCTCAGGGTGCTGTCTGCATAGTATGCCCTTAGTTGGCCAGCTGCATGATTGGCAGGCAGCCTGACATGCATTCATTCCAGGCTGGCCTTCTAATTCTTTGGGCAGACATATCCTCTTTTTGGGCATGTTTGCCCTTTTTGTCAGGTTACGTGATTTGTGTCAGTGGCCCACCCTTTTACCATGCCCATTGACTTCCTGCTTGACTGGACACTGCTGTTGGGGGTTATGGATTTACTTGAAAGATGAAAACATAAATTAGAGAAAGATTAGCCTAGGGTATGTGTTTTCTTATAGCTGCTGTTTTCTTTCTCTCCAGCACCATCTCCATCAGATACATGACGCCTGGGAGTGTTTTACTGTTTTTGGTCGATATGATTCTGTAATTAGGCCCGTCATAATTGTCAGCACCAGGCCCACTGGGCTCTTAATCTGGCCCTGCCTCCAACCATACCACACTTACCTGCCTCGCATTGCCACACTCACCATATCACGTTAACCTCCCTACTGATCTTGTCATCTCCTCTCACACTGTCATACTCATCCTCTATGACTGTCACATTCATCCCTTTTCATCCTTCCACACTCACCCTATCACTTTAACCCCTCAAATCCTGTCACACTCCCTCCTCCAAACGTGCCACACTCACCCCTGAGCCTGTCACACTCACCATGTCACATTAACATCTCTAATCCTGTCAGACTCTGTCACATTAACCCCCCTTAATCCTGTCACATTCACCTCTCCTTGCCCTGTCACATTCCCTCTTCCAACCATGCAACATTCACCATAACCCTGTCATGTTCACTCCCCAGCCCTGTCACATTAACCATGTCACATTAACCCTGTAACCCTGTCACACTTTCACATTCTCGCCCTGTCACACTTGCTCCTTCAACCATGTCACACTAACCCCCCTAACCCAGGCACACACATCCTTCCTTATTCTGTCCCAATCACCCCCCAACCCTGTCAAATTCACCCCCTGCCCTGTCACACTCACCATGCCACAGTTATCCCCTGAAGACATTCATACTACGCACGCAGTCATAAAACATACCTTCACTATAAACACAATACACAAAGGCCGCAGGTATCCCCAATACACACATACACCGCAAGCAGCTAACCCACACACATACGGTCCCAGAAACAAACATAAACATACTCACTGTCAAACACACACTCTCAGACACATACACAGATAGACAATGCCAGACACACTAATAAATATACACATTGTGACTGTTTTTGTCAATGTGTTTGACTCTGTTCATCAGTTGTTTGTTTGTTTGTTTTTTATGTGTGCGTACGTGTGTACTAGTTTGTATATGTGTGCATGTATTAGTGTGTGTGCAGCTCTTGAGGGTGGTATGGTACAAGCAATGCAAAGGTAAATTGGCAACATATATAATATACATATACAAAACATACATAAAGAACATAGAGAATAATATAAATGTAAAAGGATTATAGAATGTGTAGGGAAAATGTCA